TCTTTGAGTGCGGCCATCCAGCCAATTCCTTGCCTAACCTTCTGGAATAAATGGATTTACAAAAGGATTGGCTTCAGCAACCTGAATACCACCTCAAAAAAATTCTACAAACAAATTGCCCAAAGAAAAACAGAATTTGTACTCTTTTTCACATTAACAGACTGTTCTTTTCCCTTGTGTCATGCCTACTTTTGCATGCATTTCACATTGGAAATTCAGATGTCAACCTCATTTTTTTTTCCCATGAACTACGAAGAACCTTATTTTTTGGCAGCTCTCCTCTAAAAAGAAAAGTTTTTCAGATACGACCTCTTCTCTGCCATCCATGGAGCAACTACGATCTCTTGTGGTTATCTAATCTAATCTCCTCCTAAATCCTCAATAATGGGATTTACTGCTCTGAGCCCTTAAGTAATTCCCAAAGGATTCAAGTCTGTGCTTGAGTGCTTTGTTAAACCAGGGCAAAGAAAAAGACAATTTCTTCCATTAAGAAAGACCTGCATTCTCTTTTCCTTGTAAATATTTCAAGACATTTGCAACCGCAAAAACGAGGGGGTAACAAGATTTAACAATTTTAGTTCAGACATCTTGGAGATGAGAATGTTTGACTACTCACTTTTCACCTCTATTTAATACCAGCAATATCTTACATAATCATTGCAAGCCCTCCTAAGATTACTTCATGAGGAGACAGAAAAAGACCACACCAATACCACTGCTTGTTTGGTTTGCATGGACCTGTTCTTTCCATTAGTGTAGGAAGTCAAGCTCCTTAACCAAAAATCTCGTTTCCCTCCTGGCTTGAAAAATTAACAAGCAATTACAGAAGTGTCCACCATACAGAAGCCACTACAAGGTATCTGGATATGCAATACTACTGGTTCTATGTAACCAGAGATGAAAAAAGTGTGGTTTTTTGTTTGGTTGTTTTTTTGGTTTTTTTTTAATAAGATAACACAGATGAGAATAAATTAGGAAGAGAAGATAACTCAGAGATGCTTCTACAGAAATAAAAATCTTTGGCCAACAAGAGACAACACTTCTCAGAAACAGCCAGTATATGCAAAACAGCTCAGCAGTAAAGATGACAGAACAGGAGAAAAATAGAACAAGATCTGGGGACTAAATGCTCTTACCAAAACAAAGCAACTCTCACAGCTTCAAGTACCAACACTTCTGCAACTATGCAGAAAAGGAAGTTGCTGTAGCTAAGTTCTCCAGAGTTTATCCACCAGAGCCTTAGATCACATCACTAACCAGAGAAACAAGCAAAGACATACCTACCTTTGTGCCCCTAAGGTGATCTCCTGACCCAGTCCGATAAGCAGTTAAATAACCATGTACTACAGCTCTTAGGTCAGACATCAAGTTATCCATGAGGGATGAGCGGAGCAGCAGAAGGTACATAGCCTTCAGAGCAAGTGCTTTAAGCAGAGAAGCTGGAAAGGGTCTCAAGAACCACATGCCAGGATTCTCCTGTATCCCAATGCAAACAAAGACAGTTATTTAAGTAGCAAACAATATAACAAAGCTTTTCATCACATTCTTCTGCAGTTTATAACACATCTCTCGATACTGATCTCTATTTGCAATGCAACTGAATACTTGCAGCTTCTAAGGTTATCTGTGTACAAGCCTGTGGATGATAGAGAAGATGGAGTGTGGGAGGAGGGATTGCTTCTCTAAAAACAAAACAAAACAAAAAACCACCACAAAAACCCCAAACCAAACTAAAAACGAGCAAACACCTATTCTAACATTTAATGCCAGGTCTTCTCTCACCCATCTCTGAAACTAGGCTGGATTCCTAACAGCTGAGCTGAAAGATTAAAGTGAAAAACCCCTCCCCATTAAGGGAGCTTCTCTCTGGATTTCCACTCTGAAAGCTGGATTCCTAACAGCTGAGCTGAAAGATCTAAAGTGAAAAACCCCTCCCCATTAAGGGAGCTAGGGAAGCAGCTGGGGATAGTAACAGCTTCAGCCATCACAACTGGAACCAGAACATGAAAATAAGCCCCAGTTAAGCAGCATGACCACGATACCCTCAGCAAAACTGTCACTACAGAGTGGCTTACACTGGTATACTTACTATGTACATATTACACAGTCATCCTCCACTTTTAGTCTTCAGACCAATAGGAAGATTTGATCTGGTAAGCTAAGGAAGGCATGTTGTCATTTGGCTTAGAATTGCCTTACAAAATTCTCTAAATTGAAATTTTGAGAGACACTATTAGAATTCCAAAACTTATGTATAAATAAAGCTGTGCTCAAATCAGAGGTTTCACCAAGTAGCTCTTTTAGCAGTATCAAATAATATTTAATCCAGGCTTTTGAGAAAGATTTGACATCTATGAACAGACAATGCAAAACCACTCAAATTTACTCAGGAAGTTACAAGACCAATGTGAAGGGAGAAAAAAATTATCTGGTAGGAAAGAGATTGTTCCTATCCAGTAAATAAATCCTGCCTATATAGTGAGGTCTCATTAACTATCTAATTCCCATATTTAATAGCTTCTTTGGAAGTCTTCCTGCTAGACCCTAAGAAAAAGCAAGGTCAGGTGATTAAAAACCCAGCAAAAACATGCCACAACTGGTACTAGCATATTTATATACTATTTGTTTAACTAAATTGATAGCCTTCTGTGATAAAGTCACCTGCCTAGTGGATGAAGGGAAGGCAGTGGATGTGGTTTTTCTGGATGTTAGTACTGCTTTTGATACTGTTCCTCACAGCATCCTCCTAGACAAGCTGTTCAGGTGTGGGGTGAGTGGGTTCATGGTGTGCTGGGTGAAGAACTGGCTGAAGGGCAGAGCTCAAAGGGCTGTAGTGAATCTGGCTGCTGGACACCAGTCACCAGCAGCGTTCCTCAGCGTTCAGTTCCAGGGCCAGTTCTGTTCAATGTATTTATCAGCAATGTGGATGCAGGATTTGAATTGGTCAGGCAGTTGGACTAGATGATTGTTGTAGGTCCTTTCCAACTAAAATAGTCTATTCTATTCTATTTATCAAGCTTACATTCCCCAAATCTTAAGAGCTCCTATCCCATTAAGTTTTCCCTTGCTTGTCCCCATCTGAAAGATCAACAAAGACAATAGAGCACAATGATTTGGCAAATGCTGCTGAACTGCACAAACAAGAAAAAAAACCACCACTACTTAAATTTTTTCATTCTAATAGTGCTGGCAATGAAAGTTTCCTTTTTCCCTACTTGACTCAGGATTCATTTTACCCAACTTGTTCTGTTAGAACAAGGTTGCAGAATTAGCCAAATATATTAAGATATCTGGAACATTTTTTACCCGAGTTATATATATCCTCTATTGTACAAGCTTTGTGGTTCTTCAAAACCTCAATTTCAAATGAGTTATTAGGAAATGCCAGCATAAGCACTGATGCCAACTAAAGCTAACATCTGTCTCCCAAGTCAGTGTTACAGAATGTCCTCAGCTACAGCAATTTGACCATTGCATAGTGCCATGCTCTTAAAAAAAACCCAAAAACCTGTCAAAAACATAGAATCAGAGAATCAGAGAATTGTTTGGTTGGAAAAGACCTTCGAGATCATTGAGTCCAACTGTACCTGTCCACTACTAAACCATATCTCTGAGCACCTCATCTACCCGTCTTTTAAATCTCTCCAGGGATGGTGACTCCACCACCTCCCTGGACAGCTCGTTCCATCACCTGAGAACCCTTTCAGTGAAGAAATTTTTCCTGACATCTAATCTGGACCTCCCTTGGTGTGACTTGAGGCCATTTCCTCTTGTTCCATCACCAGTTACCTGGGAGAAAAGACACACACCCGCCTCTCTACACCCTCCTTTCAGGGAGTTGTTGACAGTGAGAAGGTCTCCCCCTCAGCCTCCTCTTCTCCAGGCTCAACAACCCCAGTTCCCTCAGCCATGAACTCATCACACTTGTGCCCCAGCCCCTTCCCCAGCTCCGTTGCCCTTCTCTGGACACGCTCCAGCACCTCCATGTCCTTCTTGTAATGAAGGGTCCAAAACTGGACACAGCATTCAAGGTGCGGCTTCACCAACGCTCAACATCTCAAGATGATCAAAGCACAGCTCACAACTGAGTCTTCACTCACTGTGAAGGTGCCTCACTGAATCACTCACTGAAGCCATCTCCTGCTTGTGCTTTATGATGGCATCCCATTTGCAAGGTATCTTCAAGTGCTGCATCAAACACTCCTGTAACGTGCGGACACGGTGCGGAAGGAAGCCACCTGTTGCCATGGAGAACTGTAGAGCATCAGCAACCTGTGATGGAAGGAATCAATATGCCATGACCAGTATCCATTAACCCAAGGCAAAGAATGTGGAGGTTTGACAGTGGGGATGCATATTACAAGTAAAGTACACCACAAACAAATGAATCCTCATCTTGACTGCATACAGTTGCACAGCTAATAACCTGACTCCTTAAAGCTGTTAAGTTACATAAAAGGGTAAATTAAGTTTTAAGAATGACTTATTAGTTATAGGCTGTATTAGTCTAAGGCTCCTTCTAGCCCAGTACTCATCTCCAGACAGCAGGTGGTTAAAAGCGATATCACAAGAGAATAAACACGCAGTGATACTTCCCCAGGATACTTATGGTTTTGCCTTTTATCTACAACCTGAAGTAGTGATGCAATGTAAGGAAAACATGATGGAAGAATATGTTAAGTTGTTGAAAACCTTTTGCCTAAAACCTGATTTTACCAGTAAGATTCATCTTTGACAGCATACAGAACCAGAAGGGAAGCAGACAACAGCCTCCAGCAGTGACTGCATGCCACCGTGTTTGCTTGTTTCTCATCCTGGTTTCATCCCTTTTAGACTTTGGCAGTAAGAGCAGGAATAGCCCTGACTCTTGTCCATATCGAGGGAACACAGATGGGTGGGACTACTGCAGCAGGTGCAGAGAGAAGACAATGGAAATAGGAAGCCTGGAAGAGAGTCCATTCACCAGGGGAATGGAGAGGAAAAAATAAAAAGCCTGTATCCACAATCAAAACCCGAGACAGAGCTATCTGTCATTAGAACAACCTACCCTTCAGACTTCCTCTGCTACTCAGAAGCCCAGATTCCCACTCTGGTCCCCCGAAATCCCCTCCTTGACCTCTCAAAGCTTTTTTCTCCTTACTACTCTCTCCTGAGAAACCTTGAGCCAACACTCAACGCAAGCATCCACAATCCCACCAACAAAACCATGAGCTTACAGGGCAGCTCAGTTTTACTGCAAGCATTACAGCTGAGGCCACAGTTTGAGCTGTTCTACCACGTGCTGCCCACGTGCTACCTAGACCAGACCACGTACTGCTCGGCAGCACAAGCTCAGCCACTGCAACAGTGACCACAGAATTCTAACTGACCTCTTCTGGCCTCTTATAGTGAGGGTAAATTCCAAGACCAAATCTCAACTCCTAACTTATCAAGGGAAAAAAAAAAATAAAATCTCTTCCTACCCAACAGCAAAGGCAAAGAAGCTGGTATGATTTATTCATGACTAAAGCTGCCTCTAAGGCATTATCTAAAGAGCTAACTGCTGCCTGTTCTTGGAGCAAAGCCATGTATTTGCTAAGCCTACCAGAAGAAAGTGCTAAGGCAATCCATTTACTGAATTTCCAAGGAACCAAAGATTGTATGAAGGTATTATGAAGAACATGCAAAATATTAGACCACCAGAAGCAATCTTGGACTAATGAAAAAAATGTGAGACCTCCTATGTTCTGTGGTAGGACAGAGAATCTAGGACTGTCTATTTCTGCTAGGCTGACTACATTGCTGCAGTCCAAAGAAGTCCTCAACCACCAGCTGAAAAGTGGCAGAAAACATATCCAGAGAAAGGAACTGCAACAATTCAAACTGATGAGTTCACTGAAGAGAAGAAAATGGAGAAGACCCAGGTGAAGCTGACCTTCACAAATCACCAGGTAAAGAGGAAGCTTCCATCACTCATTATTGAGCCGTCCTTTGTATTGTACTTCTGTCCACTAAAACCTTCTCTGGCTTTTCGCTCTCAGTGGCCAAATGCAGATGAAGACAAACCTCAGGAAAGGCCTTCTCAAGCAATCACAGAATCACAGAATGGTGGGGTTGGAAGGGACCTCAGGAGATCATCTAGTCCAACCACCCTGCCAAAGCAGGTTCCCTACAGCAGGTTGCACAGAAAATCAGTTACTTTTCTCAAAGTCAAAACAAAGATGATGTTAAAATCTATGGAAATAAATTCCATTCTTCTAGATAGTTAGAGAGAGAGTTTCTGGTAAAAAAAATGACAATGCTTTACAAACAAGGAGAGAAAAGACCTCAATATTTAAACAAAAAATGAAAGCATCTTTGTGATCAATATTAACAAAAAAGTCTAATCTAAATGAACAAGGTTATAAAATAAATTTGCCTACAATAAAAACAATGTTTTAGCTTTCACTGTGGAAAATCTTTGTCCAAAGTCACTGCATGCTAATGGCCTGGATTCAAGGGCAGAGAACCTATGACACACTGAAGAGCAGTGTATGTGCATTGATCTGTGGAACCAGACAGCAACAGCGACTTCTTCACTTGTACATTTTATGATTAAACTTTGCATGGACCTCTGCCTTATGGAAAGTCTCAAGCTGTCAAATTTTCTTCATTCTTTCAGCACACACCTCTAGGAAGAATTGTATTATTTCTTTAGATAGTACACAGATATGCAACCAACAGCATTTTACAATAGGCATGGATTTCAGAGCATGAGAATGCTCTGGCCTCATGATGCAGCACAGAAGTGTCCCAGAAGGCAGCATTAGAGATGAAAGCACTGACAACAGACAGCTGCCTGCTCTTTAAGCAGCTTTTTAGTCTGCTATAGCCCAACAAGGACACCCCCTCCTGCCTCAAGGCAGTCATATGTGAAATAGCAGTATCAGACTTCCACAAACATTATAATTAAAAGTTACTTCAACAGGTGATGCTTAAGCACAATAAGAACATCAGTGGGGAAAACAGTCAGTGAACATCAGAAACCTTTCATTTCCATCCTCTACATGTGGTATTAATTGTATTAGGTTATCTACTGCAAGGAATAAACAGTTGCAGCAACTGGCCAAAACCAGGGATAAATGGAGGTGGGATCCCATCTAACCCAGAGTTTTTCATTCTGTTGCTGTGGTTTTTAAGCAGCCTCACTTGTGCACACAGCTTGTTCCAACATGAACACTGAAAAGCCATCTCTAAGAAATGCTTCACAAAAAGCACCTATGAGCATTTCTGTCTTCTACTGTGTAGTCCTGGAGCAAATAACTGAGAGAGACCTCTGAGCACAGAGTAGAAGACAAGACAGCTTAATTCCACCATGTCAGGTGCATTGCAGGGTAGCCAAAAGCAGACTACTTCACTAGCCTGCTTACATTAGAAGTAGGATTTGGGCCAACAAATCAGAGTAGTTGAATCTAGCTTAGAAATCTATCAGTGCAAGAAAAGCATGCGTGTCTGCTCACACCAAGACAACAGAACAGTGAGTGCTATTTTGTGTACCTCAGACCCTAGGGTGGATAGTTTTGGTTAGTTATTTCCACCGTATCAATTACACGCCCTAGCCAGTACAATTGGGAGCACTGGTGGGAATTTCACCCCTGCCTTTTTCATGCAGTCCAGACTTAGCAATGACACTGACTGATATTTGACCTGTAAGGGAATAGCATAATTTTTAGGGGCAAAAGGCAAAACTAAGAACAGAAAGGGACTGAGAGAAACCTCTGCTGTATAACACTTACTAAGTAGGGGTAGTAAGTCTAAGGTTAGGGCCTTGAAGAGTTACTATAGGCAGTCATATCTATGACACTTAAAATCAGTATATAGGCCAGGACAAGTCATACATAACTATGCATACCATATCCATGAATATTATGAAAGATCATACCCAATATGTTATTTTCTTCTCTCCTGAAAGGCTCTAATTCTCCTGGTAGTCACCCAACAGTAACTACCCAACTACCAGGGCCAGCACTGGCAAAAACCAGATTTTTGTGGTAACCTGGCCTGTTGTCTCACGTCCACCACTGCTTTTATTAGGAGGTGCTTCCCAGTGTTGGATACCTGTAGCCTGAATCTGCTTCTATACTTATGAAATGGGCAACAAACAACATAAAGCACAAGCTGACCTGGCTCCTGTTTAAGTCACGGTAGCCTCAGGTTGTACCAAGTTTGATCAAGGCCAGTTGATACATCTTGAAAAAAACCCCAAACATTAAACTTGCTGCTAATATTAGATATTGACTACATTTTAAAATGGATCTACACAAGACTAAATAACACTACTGGCCTTGCCTGCTGGCTCTTTCTAGCTAGAATAAAAGCGTTTGCATTTACACGGTTCAACAACTGTCACATTCTAGTAGTGTTAAACCTTCTCTGAGAGAATACTCTGAACAAGGCTGAAGTTTCTCTTGTTGAAACTTTTGTTCCCAACCAGAATATCTGAAGGGTACCTGTGTGTCAAAGACATTGAAGAGAAGGACACCGTATTGGTGAAAGAGGCAGTCTGAGATCCAGCGGCAGTCATGCATGACCTGAAGCAAGAAAGGGCTGTCAAACAAACTTGTGTCCACCTGCAACTCTTCTGGTGAAAGCTAGATCATTTTATACATATATATACACACACACACACACATATATATATATATATATGACCTCTGCCACCACAAATGTCCTCACACACCCTGTACCCTTACCTTCAAGATGTCTTTATCTTCCAGCACCATTTGTAATCCATTTTTGAAAGCCTGGGGTCCCAGAAGGAAGATATCAAATAGAAAAATCTGGCTCTTTGATGCTATCTACAACAAATACAGTTGCAGAGAAAATGAGTGAGGGACAGAAAAACAAAAGATTTGAAATATGAAAGATTTGAAATAATTGGAGTGTCCTTCTCTGGAGACATTCAAAACCTGCCTGGATGCCTTTCTATGTGATCTCATTTAGGTTCCTGCTCTGGCAGGGGGATTGGACTGGATGATCTTTCGAGGTCCCTTCCAATCCCCAACATTCTGTGATTCTGTGAAAGTAGGAGAGACTGCACTGCTGTCCATGAGCAATAGCTTCCTACGTACAGGCTTATGCTGGGGAGAGTATGTTTAGTTTCCTTAATGTTAATTCAAAAACAAATCTTGTTTTTTCCAGAGATGCTCACGAGACTCACAATAATTAGAAAGAACGACCCCATAATCTACTCTACACAGTTAGCTGCAGCATTTTGAGACATATCAAGAGCAAACCCTATACACAGTACTTAAAATTAATTCCTACACCTATTATGGTGACATTTTTAAAAAAACACATCCAACAAAATTCTTGTGCCCATGACATACCTTTCATTGTCAAAGACCACTACCAAAGAAATAAAGGACATTGTTTTCCATCTTAGCATTTCAAACACGATAGAAAAGTTTAGGTTTTGCCTATATTCAAATTCATAGTGGTTTAACAAAAGCTGTTATTTGAAAGCAATTTAGCCATACCAAAGCAAACATTTTGTGGACACTACTTCTACATAAACAAGTTAAGTCTGAAGCATGAAATCCCACACAAGTGTTTGCTCTGGATAAACACACCTATTTTAAACCTATTTAAAAATAAACTAAGATGATTTTGAGGTAGCATATTAAGCTATTCTTCTCTCTGTCCCTTCCTTTTCAGATGTTGATAATTAATATCACAGCTAATTAAGATACTGAATTATCTTTGGATGGATTTTACTTCTTCAATTATATTGGTATTATGATTAGGTCTTGCAGTTTTTCAATAGGTAACAGCTGTACTAGTGCAATACCTCTACCTGTATGCAAGTATATCAAGATGGCAAACCAAATTTGTTACAGTGTTATATGAAAATGTATATATTATATACAAGTAATGATTATATTGCCATATAATGGCATAATTCTTTCCAAGAACAAGTCCTTTATGAAATACCTGATCTGTCTTGAAGAACACCATATCCCTTACCAAAACAGCTACGTAAGTCTTTAACACATGCTAAGCTCCAAATGTTTCTCAGTTATGCCTCTGTTTAGTGGCACATTTTGGGAAATATCTAGCTCTTACCTCAAGCCATGAGAGTTTTCCATGGCGACACAAATTAACACCTTCTCCTGCTACACTGATGACACGCTGCTGTTTTAGGTGCAGCACCTAATGAAAAAAAATAGGCATAAAATAAATAGTGCCAGATAATGACAGGCAGAAGGACAAACAGTAAACTGCTGTTTTTCTGGTCATGATCCATATTTAAAAATGTAAATACAGGTCAAAAACCACAATGAATCTCAGATATACAGTGATCCAAGAGGAACACACACAGTATCAGTCCAGTTAGACAGACAGCTGGAAAATCTGCAACTAGAAACATCAAAGATTGATTTAGCAGAGATTATGGATGACTAAAGAATATAGACTCCTCTGATCTCCCAAGAAATTCTCCTAAGGAGGTTTTAGGAACTTCCTTAAGATCAGATAAAGAAGATGTTCCTTTCAGTTAAAAAGGAGAACTCATTTTCTAAGGTATAAAAGAAAAACCTGTTACTCTCACAAACACGAAGTTTCCAGACAACTAAGATAAAGCAACCTGTAGTGTGCATGTAACCCAGAAGCATGAACAGAAGTAAAAAAGTCAGATGCTTCTTCAAGCAACAGTTAAGATTCCTTTGTAAGCAGGGAAATCTATTCCTGTGGGGAAGAGCTTCTTCCTGGGCTGCATCAAGAGCAGCGTGGGCAGCAGGTTGAGGGAGGTGATTCTCCCCCTCTACTCCGCTCTCGTAAGGCCCCACCTGGAGTGCTGTGTCCAGTTCTGGAGCCCCCAACACAAGAGAGACCTGGAGCAGCTAGAACAAGTCCAGAGGAGGCCTCGAGGATGATCCGAGGGCTGGAGCACCTCTCCTATGAGGACAGGCTGAGAGAGTTGGGGCTGTTCAGCCTGGAGAAGAGAAGGCTCCGGGGCGATCTTATAGCGGCCTTCCAACACCTGAAGGGGCTACCAGAAAGCTGGGGAGGGACTTTTCATAAGGGCAGTTAATGACAGAACGAGGGTAAATGGGTTTAAGCAGAAAGAGGGGAGGTTTAGATTAGATATTAGGAAGAAGTTCTTCACTGTGAGGGTGGTCAGACACTGGCCCAGGTTGCCTAGAGAAGTTGTGGATGCTCCTCCCTGGAAGTGTTTAAGGCCAGGCTGGATGAGGCATTGAGCAACCTGATCTAGTGGAAGGTGTCCCTGCTGATGCCAGGGGGGTTGGAACTGGATGATCTTTAAGGTCCCTTCCAACCCAAACCATTCTATGATTCCTCTGTATGCACACTATATTTACCATAATAAGAGCCCAAATCACAACTTCTGTTACTGCAAGACAAAATGGCACAGGTGACCTATACTATTGCTGGTCTAAGTCTGGACCTAAAAAATGCTATTAAATTTAATCTAATTTAATCTATCATTGGCTCTGAGTTCTGAAACAAAGCCTTTCTACCAGGCCCGCTTACGTTATTACATGAGTTAAGAGAAGGTCCTGGCATATCCAGAGTTCCAAACACCTACAAAAACAACACAGTCAATTACCTCACCAAAAGTCAACAAATCCTCTTGTTTCCTTCCTAAACAAAGTAACTGTTTACTAAATAGTAATACTGATCCTTCACCTCAGTTACTGGTGATAGAGAGTCTGAAAACAGCAACCTACACAGAGGAGGCAGATTCACATCCACCCACTGCAAACCCATGTGCACGTGCTCTTTTGTTGCGTGTATGGACACTTTAAATATACTTGATGCCACCAGATACACCATTTCTAGTTGATTTAAAGAAGCCAGTTACCACCTGTTACTCAAATTTCACTACAGTCTGCAAAAGTGATTTCCAGTATAAGAAATCGTGAAGCTGTGCTCACAATCCTGCCACCTAATGGATCTGCTGACAATTAGAACAGAACAAGCTTAGAAGTCATATAGGCTGCATAAGAGCTTTCGTTAGTACTTACTGCTGGGCCAAATTTCTTCTGGAAACAATCAACAACTGTGTACTCCACATTCTCTTCTTCCTTCTTCTCTAAAAGTAAGGAAAAAAAAAAATCATCAGATGCTCCCTCTACTCGAATAAACTTTGCCCAAGGTATGTATTTTAGTTGTATAATCACATTACTTTCCTGCTTTAGCTGTTCAGTTCTTCCCCCCTCTACTTCCTGAACACACCCAGACAGATTACTGAACTATCCGATTCAGATGTGTACACTCCAGAGCATGAGCCAAAATTCTGGTTTTGGACAGAAAAACTGGCTGTTTACAACTAAGTTGCAGCGTTACTTTTTGTCAGTATGATGCATAAAGGTTTCAGTTTTAAAAGTTACATCCATTTAAAAAAGCACACCCTAATTCCCAGGCTTGTCCAGGGAAGGAAAAAGATTGTAGCAAAGACAAAACCGTGACACCACAGGGGGCTCAAGGAGGCAAAGAGAATTTAAGCCAGATTTTAATGTTTTTTAACACCTGCTTATAAATGTCTTACAGGTAAAGTGCAGATAAAGAAGGGTTCTCTTAAGGATTCTCCCTTCTCTTTAGGTAAGATGCAAATGTTAGTAATATGCATCCATGACAACACAAGGACAATCTCCTAAACTCTAAAATAAAGAGTCAATTAAAGATCATCAGGACAAAGTTTTAAAGGCTCTCCCAGATCACATCAACCCTTGCTCATTTTCTCCCCCACTACTCAGGTAGACGCCACTAACCTGCCTTTAGTCTATACAGGTCTTGCACTCTTATCACAGCTCTGTGAGAGCAGAAAGAGCCGGTAACATTTTGGATCTGTACCTGTGTATGTGTATACAGCAGGAAGCACACAACCAAATCAATGCAAGCACGTGACAGCCAGCACAGAACCAAAGAGCAGCAGTCTTATTGAGCTTTGAGTTAGCTATCGTGATGCAGACATTTCAGGAACAAGTATAAGATTAAAACAACCACCAGAGAGGAATGCTCACTGGCTGAAGCACTGATTTCTCCAAAGATCAGTTGTGCTGCTCAGTCACTTTTACAGTTGATGAGAATTACAGGATAAACATTCTGGAAAGTAGATGAGTTTCCTTCTGATGTGAATGTATCTGCAGGCAAAGAGCACGTCTGCAGCTAACTAGTTCTGTATCTACCTTTCTGTGACCACTGTTCTTTCAGAATACATCCTGTTCTGACACAGGGAAACCAAGAGATCATGGCCTCTGGGAAACACACTGTCCAACAAAGACACCCTCACTACATTGCTTGACTAATATCCACATTACCTGAGAGGGAGCATTTTAAGCTACTTGAGGCTCTGAGCTGGTTCTCTAGGGAAACACAAGGAGAACTCCATGGGCCGCAATCTGCTGGCCCTGTGTCTGCTTGTTTATTCCCTTCAGCAGCTGAAGTGCACCTGCATGAGGAAGACAACCATGCATAGCACAGAAGAGAAAATATTACACATTCGATCAGCATGGACATTTCAATAAAGAAAATTATTTCATCCAATGTCATCTACTTGCATCCAGACAATGAACTGCTGCATGTGAAGCAACTTCCCAGTCCAATGTGCATGGTTCTTAAAGAGGATCTTGAAGCTACTCAACAATAAGCTTATTTTGCACAAAAGGGCCTTTATTACAGATAAAATTTCATGTTTATTCTGAAAGTAAAAGGTGAAAGAGGAACCTGAACAGATGTTCACTGCAAAGGTCAGTAACAGTTTCAAGGGAAGAAAGAGTTCAAAGTACAAAGAATGAAGTATTTGACCTGAGCCCAAGCAATTTAAATATCTGGAAGTCTTTATGCTGAATCAATAACATTTGATCCATTAGTTAATTACTGTAATTGGAAGACAATTTTACAAGTTCACCAATATGTAAAACAGTTATATCCACTAAAACTTTACTGTAATCAAATAGAAGTTATTAAATCATATAAAATGGCAGCAATCTCAGGACCAAAAAAACCCCAGGGTTAGTAAACATTCATCTGACTGAAAGATGCCACATCTAAGATGCTTAATTTCTACAATGGGACAGTCTAAGGTCAAGAATACTTCACTGGGAAATATGACGCCTTAGTATCAATTTCCTTCTATTGATGTAAAAACATCTTGTTATCATTACAGAGCTCCAACCACGTACCTCTCTCTGTCTCAATATCATAAAACATAAAAAACCTTTCTGATCAGCCTTTAGATGTAGCTGAAGAATCTTGGATGTAAAATTGTGTATTTAAAGGGTTAACACAGGAATCTGCTAGCAAGGTAAACACATTCAAGTCTGTGTGAGTGTAGGCTTAGTTAACAGGGAGAAAGAAGACAGGACAGCAGCAAGGAAGACAACTGCTGCTACTCACAACTCTATGTGCTTTTTAACTATATTTTAAGGACTATTCAGTAGATGCCACTTCATTCCTACTTCTCTTAAGAGGAAGAATAAACTCCTCAAATGTGGTCTTGTGAGAAGACTCAAAGCAGAGCCACCTGGGAGCATGGGACTGCAAGAATTGGAAACATATTTTTACCAGCTTCCCAAAGTCACATTTATATATGTTTTGAGAGGACCTGCATAAACCTAACCTTCCCTGTGCAGCTGTCCTGGAACTGTTCCACCACAGCAGAAAGGCTCATGGGATATCCTCCCTGAATCTGTAAGCTGACAAGGAAACAACCAAGCAAATTGTTCTACCTAGGAACACTAGTGAGAGAGGGGAGGAAAGGAGGAAAGGAGGAAAGGAGGAAAGGAGGAAAGGAGGAAAGGAGGAAAGGAGGAAAGGAGGAAAGGAGGAAAGGAGGAAAGGAGGAAAGGAGGAAAGGAGGAAAGGAGGAAAGGAGGAAAGGAGGAAAGGAGGAAAGGAGGAAAGGAGGAAAGGAGGAAAGGAGGAAAGGAGGAAAGGAGGAAAAAGAAGCAAGAGAGAGAAATTGTAAGCAATAACTTGAAAGAACCTTTTACACAGGGGAGGTCTTCCACTTACCACCTTGTTGACCTCTTTAGAGCTGAGAAATACAAACTTGGCTCAGCAGAGTCTAAACATTAGTATTACACTAAATGTAAGTGGTGGCTCCCATAGCAAGTGCATCCCACCCCTTCTACCGTGAAAGGAAGGAAACATTTCAACGTACCCCGAGAGCATTGCTGTTCCCTTCCCCGAATCTCGTTCATCCAGCAATTCCACTGCAATAGAAACAAACAATTTATACTCTAGTGCTGACAAGCAACTTTTTGACCCTTGTTATCTCCTAAAAAAGGAGAACCATAACCGATACTAACCACCATAGGACATGGCCATACATACAAAAGAAGAAATTAAACTCAAAGTATAGTTTAAATAATTTTAAATTCACTCTGATGTAAAAATCTGTACAAAATAACTTATATGGGTAGCCTAGATAAGGTGTATTGCAGAACTCTAACACTTAAACAAGACTAAGGGCTTACCATCCCACCAAAAACAAAGTCAGTATCTAACTACCACTAATTACTTTACAGACAATTACACAGACAATAAAGCCAGTACAAGGAAAGAGGCAGAATTGAGTCTGTGTTAATCCCTTGGCAAGTCCAGTAGCTGCCTTCTAGCTATTTCCTGCTCAGTACTTTGTTCCTTGTCCCCAAAGTAAAGCAGATGCCAATAAAAAAAGCACAGGACCTTTATACACAAGAAATGTTTTTCTTAAATAATCCCATATTCTTATGACTATTGAACATGGAAAGAGGCTCAGATAAAGAGATCATTTAATAGAGATGCTTTTGCCTCTGTGAGTAAAAGCAAAACCAAGTTAACTAGAACTTTACACAATTTAACTTCCCAGCAGAGTCCATAGTGAGAGTCTGGCATATATAAGAACATACACAATGGATGTAAAAGGACGTAAAGAGGGGGCACACTTATCTCAAATGATTACCTTTGGAATGGTTACTTTCATTAGTGGTCTTATTGGACTTTATTCATTATTTAACTGGTAAGTTTTAAAGCAGTACAGTCACAAGACCTCCACAAAGTGAGGAATTAATATTATTTCACTGATAGATAACTGGGGCAGAAAAGTTGTGTGATTTATACAACATTCTAATTCCTACTGATTTTAGAAGATGTGCAATGAAAAATTCAGCAGAGTGACCAAAAAATGGATTTAAAATGCTGAACCAACAGTGGACATGATCCCTGTGCCCCAAAATGCAGGAAGAAAAGCCTCACCGTTCACTATTTCATGGCCAAAAACCATCCTTACTCCTGGAGTGCTTCTGCCAGTTTCCAAGTTCTTCACTGAAATGAGGGAGAGGGAAAAAATAACAGACACACATGAAGTTTAGGTTGGATGTTAGGAAAAAGTTCTTCAATATGAGGGTGGTAGATCATTGGAACAGGTTGCCCAGAGAGGTGGGAGAAGTCCCATCCCTGGAGATATTCAAGGTCAGGTTGGACAGGGCTCTGAGCAACCTGCTCTGGTTGAAGATGTCCCTGCTCACTGCAGGGGGGGTGGACTAGATGACCTTGAAAGGTCCCTTCCAACCCAAACTGTTATTCTGTGACTCAGAGTTCAGCTGCTTGAGGTAAAAGCTTATCATTTGCAGAACAAAGCAAGACCATAGGACCGGGTAGTGCTATGAACCAGGAAAAAAAATTAAAAATAGTGGGCAAATGGGTTATTTTAAGGGACAGCTCTCTTGACTCGACAGAAGAGGGTTTGTACGAGATGCCGGTGCCCTGAGGAGGGCACAGCTCAGGGCTGCTGCCCCTGCAGAGCCGCACAGCTGAGAGCACAGCCAGGCGCGGCGAACTTCTACCTTAACTGTAGGTTTGATTCGCCCCGGAGCCCGGTGCGGCTCCCGGGAGGCACCCACGGGCGCTGCGGGCAGCCCAGGCCACCCGTCACACAGCGCCCACCGCGGGGCCCGCGCTTCTCCCTCAGCGCACAGGCCCACAGCGCCGGGCTCGCCCGGCCACACC